CAAAACCTACTACGCTTCCAAATAAAAGCTGAACCCTATTAATAACAGGCATAGACGTTAACCTCTCGATGGGGTCCATCACCACCATCGTCATTATCCAGAGAAAGATCGATATCTCATCAACTCTAGGATCCCATAAAGCAACCCTTCTTGAGTGAAACACCCTCAAGAGATAAAAGAACACATAACTGAATTTAAACAAATAACTAGAATACGAATCTAGATTGCAAGACTAAACTTGCACGTTCATCAAATTGAGAAAAGCAAAAGAATGAGGGAGGAAACTTCATCGATCAAAACTTGCTGGAATCCAAGTTGTCACGCTCCATCGACCGAAATCTTTACGTTAAGCGGATCGAGAGGTGGAAAAGACTAATACCAATATTCAAACTATACGAAAGTCAAAATAAATATCGTTTTCAAAACTGAAACTCTCGTAAAAATTCTAAAGTCAATACTGACTTTGAATTTAAAAACTTACAAGAGTCAAGAACGCTTATGGAGACAAATCAATGAACATTGGGTCAAAATCAATACTTCTCGAAAACTTCAAAGTCAACATTTTTTTTTGACTTCGAACTTCATATCGATAAACATCAATAATAGGAACATAGACTTCATCCACCAAAGTGCTCTAGAAAATGAGGCAGACTATAATGTCAAATTCTCAAGTGTAATTGTATCATGTATTCACTGGTATGGTATGATATGTCCCGACACAAAACTGTTAAAATAACAACAAAACTCAGTAAAAACTCACACAGGCTTGATTTCCTATGGAATTCAAAGCCATGTTCTGATACCAAACTGTCACAACATGTCCCGACACGGGAAGTATTGATTTCCCATGGAATCCAAGTCGTCACGCTCCATCGACCGAAATCTTTACATTAAGCGAATCGAGAGGTGGAAAAGACTAATACCAATATTCAAACTGTACGAAAGTCAAAATAAATATCGTTTTCAAAACTGAAACTCTCGTAAAAATTCTAAAGTCAATACTGACTTTGAATTTAAAAACTTACAAGAATCAAGAGCACTTATGGAGACAAATCAATGAACATTGGGTCAAAATCAATACTTTCTGAAAACTTCAAAGTCAAAATTTTTTTTTGACTTCGAACTTCATATCGATAAACATCAATAATAGGAACATAGACTTCATCCGCCAAAGTGCTCTAGAAAATGAGGCAGACTATAACGTCAAATTCTCAAGTGTAATTGTATCATGTATTCACTGGTATGGTACGACATGTCCCAACACAAAACTGTTAAAATAACAACAAAACTCAGTAAAAACTCACACATGCTTGATTTCCCACGGAATTCAAAGCCGTGCTCTGATACCAAACTGTCACGACCCCAAAAATGAGACCATGATTATTAAAATTTAATTAAAGGAAATTAACTTAATTAAACTGGACTGTTTAGCGAAAATCATAGTATAATTTCATAAACATCAATATATTTTACTCTGGAGACTTTCTTACAAATAATATCAAAACAGTTCACAAATTTAAACTTACACATCTCAGGGACAATACCGACCAATACAAATCATATACAAATATACAATACAACTTTAGAATTAAAAAAAAAATTGTAAATTTCTAATTAAAATAGGCCACCTCATGTCTTGAGCCTTCAATCCGTTGGCGTCAGCTTGCCACGTTGCTAGTCAAGCTACTAACTTTGGAGGGGGGAAAAAAATTTAAAACATGGGTGAGCCGAATGCCCAGTAGGAGAGTAAGAGTGGTTTACAATTAAAACAAATTTAGAAACAATAGTTTAAGTATTTGAAATCATAGAAACAAGAATCACTCGATTCTGATTAATAATGAGTGAGTTGTGGAGTTTTGAAAATGAAGAAAAATCTTAGAAAAGAAGAGAGAGAGAGCTCGGGTAGAAGAGAAAGAAAACGTGAATGAGAGGGAGTGAGGGAAAAAAATATCCATGGAAGGGAAGAAAAAGGAAAGAAAAAGAAAGAAAAAGGAAAAAGAAAAATGGAAAAGTAAGAATGAAAAAATGAGTTTGGACTTTTTGTACAAATTTACTATCTAAAATTTAAAGTCTAAATCTAACTAATATGTGAAATGATCCATCATTTTTGTTCTGAAAAATTAGCTACTAACACTTTGAATCTGTTCAGGAGACAGCTGCATCAATTCCAAAGCTCTCCTTTTTAAAAGAGAAAAATCTTTTACGTGATAATTTCAACTGAAAATCTTTTTCTAATCTCGAGTTAATTAACACTAATCACCAGATTAGATTAATTAATCTCAATCAATTTAATCAGGTGTTACAAATAAATATTAAAATAATTTATACTTAGTTAAAATAGAGAGTATAATTAAAATCCATCACCTAAAAATTATTAATTAAGTCATTTTAATTAAAATTTAACTAAAATTTAAAAAGCTTCTAGAGATATTCTTAGAAAGCTTAAAAATTGTTTGTTAATATCATGTATATTGCTATCATAAAGACGATCAACATTCTGACCTTTCCGAAGGAATGGGATAAGGGCCGACCTTCTAAAAAGAAAAAAGCGTTTGAGGCCCGCCATTCCGAAGGAATGGAATAAAGGGACGACACTACTTGTATTAACGGCCCACCATTCCGAAGGAATGGGATAAGGGCCGACCTTCTAAAAAGAAAAAAAGCGTTTGCTAAGGAAGAAAAGCGTGAATGCACTTGAGACCATGGAACCTACTTTTTTTTCTAAGGTGAATGCCTAAGGAGGCGGCTCTCTTGTGAAATGAAAGAAGGAATATTTTTCTTATAGCTAGCTTGAACTTCTGCTTTGTCTCTTTCGGTGTATAAGATGCACCTATCCGGGGTTCTGTTCAAAGTGCGGTAGATCAACATAGGTGTACCCTTCGTAAATTCGTTAACCAGTAGCGGTTAAAAGATAAGAAACTAAATGTCGTATTTAGAATTGATCCTTTTTTTTTTTTTTACGTTTTTTGATAAAGAAAAAATGAAAATATTTCTCAAATGATGTTTGACGCAATAAAGATAAAAAACGGAAATGAAAACGATTTTTTAGTTTAGTGTAAAATGAGAAAGAAATGAAAAATGACTTTTAATCGTTTTTCATTTTTTATTTTCATTTTTTCCTCTCTCGAGTAGAGAGAGAAAGAGAGACATTAATGAGTTTTTATACTGAAAATAATCTCTTGATAAAACTACTAAACGTATTTTCAAAAATAATTTATGTCTGAGATTGAAAATGTTTTTATTTTCATTTTCATACAAAAAGCAAAATTATTTTGAGACGAGTTCCATATGCAAAGTGTCACCAACTTAAGAGTTGAAAGACCATGAGTGCAAATTATTAAAAAAAGATTAATTATAAAAATCTCTCCAAACTATGATTCTCATAACACTTTACCTTTTAAATTATAAAACGTAATATTCATTCTCCTAAACTATGAAATTGTAATAAATAACTTCCTTCCGTCAGAATTTTGGATGGAGATTGAAATGTAATTGATTTTTGGTACATATTTTGACCTTATTTTGGTCATTTACTTTTGTATAAAAGCTATTTGTTTTATTTTAATAAAAAAAACATATATTAACCTAATTGAATTTGGATTTTCGATGCAGAATATAAATTGGTTTTTCCAATGCAAATTAGTGAAGCGTGGGTGGGCAGAATTGTCAATATGCACCAAATGTTTAGAAAGCATCTATGATTATATGGCACGTATAATTTCCGTTTAAAACTTTAAGGGGAACATTTGATATGCAGTATTTTTGAACATGAGAATGGAAATCTACGAGATTCTCTCGTTTGGTATAAAAATTATGATTTTTAAATTCCTGAAAATTTCAATTTCGTGGGATTCATTTTATTCCAAAATGAGGTAATTTGAATAATGCTGAATTCCTGCGAATCTTACCCACACACCCATCACAGCCTACCACCACTGCTTCTCCTCCCTCCCTGCCATAGCTACCGAGCATCTCTATCACAGCCACTGTTCAAGCTCGCCACCAGATCTCGTTGCATGAGTTCCCTCGTCTCTGCCATAACTGTCGAACAACTCCCCATCAAACTCATCTCTGGAGCTCACCATCCTTTCCATGGCTGCCGAACACCATCTCCCCACCAAACTCATCTCCGGAGCTCGCCTATCTCCATCATGGCTACCGAACACCCCCTCCCTACCCAAGTCGTCGTTAGAGCTTTGTGAAGTCACTGGATCTCGTCAAGCCTATTCGGATCTCGTCAGACCTCGCCGGATCTCGTCGAACCTTGCCGGAATTATCTTCCTCTTCTCGTTGGACTTCGCCATGGCTTCACGGGACCAACGGCATAAACCAACCCAGGCCCCCTCAAGTCTGGTTGCCGCCCTCAAGATTGGAAGCTCCTCGCCGTCGCTCGCCACCTCCGTCGTAGTCCCTTCCGTCACAGCTCCCTCCTCATTTGCTCGTCTGACATCGTCACCGGCCCACCCACCTTGCAAACCAGATCTGGTTTAATAGAAAAGGAAGGAGACGAAGAGAGAGGGTGAGAGAAAGACGACGGACTTTTTGTTTTTACTTCGTAATTTTATCTAATAATTTTAACAATTTGATTTGTGATTAAATTACAAAAATGTTCAGAATTTTTTTTTATTTTTTTAAATTTTATACCTTTTAATATTTTTATAATTTTAAAAAAGAAATATAAGGTGTTGAAAATACATAATAAACTAATTTAACAAAATTAATAAAATTTAATTTTTTATAATTTTTTAAATTATTACTTTTATAAAAAGATCACATTATATTATTGTGCCTAATTAAACACAGAAAAAAGTAAAATGATATTCTTGAGAATTTTAAAAAAATTTATGCACATAATTAAATATAATAATACATATTTTTTTAGAATCATATTAAATTCTGTCATTTTTTAATAATATAATTCTTATTAATTATTTCGTACCAAACATCTGAGATTATTTATTATGATTTTATAGTTCAAGGAAAATGGTTGTTAAGTTTTAAAATTTAAGAGTCAAAATGTTATGAGCCTATATTTGGAGGGAAGTTTTGTAATTAATTAAAAAAAAAAAAAAACACAAACTAGCAATCAGTCGAAGGAAAGCCAGACAAATAGTCCGCCGTCTCCTACCTCCTTTCTCAGGCCAATTCCCCCGTCTCCTCGAGTATACCCGTTCCAAGCCTCTCCTCCTCCTCACTTGCCCCGCCACCGACCCTTCCCTTCCCTTCCCTCCCTGACTCCGTCCCTGCCGAGCCTTCTAAGTGGGCCCACCGCCCTTCTCCGCCGCCAAACTGCGGACGGCCGCATCTTCACCCGCGAAGAAGCCATCCGAAACCACAAGTTATTCATCAGAAACAAACGGGTCCACGTCTGTGAGTTTGTGCTTTTCGTAATTTCTTCTTTGTTTCGATGATTTTATTCATTTTTTTTTTTTTGGAGTTAGTTTTTGCGGCTCTTGGGCTAGGGGTTTTTTTTTTTTGGTTTACCCGTTTGTGTTCAACGTAAGTCAGGTTTTTGTGTTTATTTAATTTTTCAGGCTTTTTCCAGTTGGTAATACCTGCCTTTGCCTTAATCATACGACCAAATAGATGAGTTCTGGTGGTTGCACGAATCAAGTCAAAAACTTAAAATTTGATTGGTTTAAAACTGAAAAGGAAAAAAAAAAAAAAAAAAAACAGAGAGGAACAAAAATATGATATTGATCAAGGTAGTTGCAAATGAAGATTTGTGTCGTTTCTGGCCATTTATTGACCAACTAATAGTTTTTGGTCTACCTAAATTGTTAAATATCGCAAAGATTTTCTGGGTATTGATTCTCTGTTTGCTTTGTTTTTCAGAGGTTAAAGTTTGATTCCCTACGTGCAAACTCCATCAGAGAGTCCGCGAAACAGTGACAGTGGGAGAGAGTTGTTACATGTTCAGCTGTTAATAAGTTTATGACGGTCTGAAGAGCTTCCCATTTATGCTTTGATATTCAGTAGACTTTTACATTCAGTAATGAACTTTTCAGAAGAGTGGAAGTCATTGTTTCCTATCTCAGCCGTCTTCAAGTCTCCGCTCCTACTCTCAGGCCCTTCCGCCAGAACTATTTTAGGCCCTCTTGTCTTCAACCCAAAAGAGAGTACCATAACCTGTCTCTTCTCCTCCCCTTCTCTGTTGCCACCTTTCACTCCTCTACCGCGTCTCTCTTTCCCTCGCTTCCTCCTCACCTCTTCTGACGATTCATCTCAACTACCCTCCACTTCCTCATCCATTGCCTCCGTCTTTGGTCCCCACCATTACCAAGACGATGTTGCTTCCGCCTTCTCACACAATCGGCTTCAGTTACTGCATTGCCCTCGTACAGACAAGTTCATTGTATTCTTTCCCACTGGTGATAATGCGAATCAAGTTGGGTTTATGCTTTTGTCCATTAAAAATTCATGCTTGGATGTTAGAGTTGATGATAATGGTGAAGCTTTTATGGTGGACTGTGGGTCCAATCACCAAATTTTGAGGATTTCAATCAACCCTGTTGTTGATTCGGGTTCTGCACTGTTGGCATTGGGAGGCAATTCATCTGGCACTATTGGGTATTTGTTGGCTTCTACGATGTACTCTGTTCATTGGTATGTTATAGAAGTTAAAGAACTTGGTCTGAATTTGCATCCAAGTTTAACTTGTGTGGGTACTAAGGTTTTTAAGACTTGCTGCATTGTGCATGCTTGTTGGAGTCCACATATACTGGAAGAAAGTATTATTTTGTTAGAGAGTGGCGCATTATTCTTGTTTGATTTGGAATCTTGCTTGAAAACCAACACTTTAAGTCCTCATTTTAAAGGAACTAGATTGAAAGTATCATGGGATGATTCAAATAATTCGGGAGATCTTAAGTGGCTGAGTTGTGAGTTCAGTTGGCATCCGAGAATTTTGATTGTAGCACGTTCTGATGCGGTTTTCATAGTTGATTTAAGGCTTGATCTATGCAATGTGAGTTGTTTAATGAAGATTGAGATGTTGCATATGTATGCATCAGTTGAAAATGAACGGTTTCTTGCTTTGACAAGGGCTGGATCTGATGGTTTTCATTTTGCTTTGGCTTCTGATAGTTTGTTAGTTCTCTGTGATGTACGCAAGCCATTGATGCCAGTTTTGCAATGGGTTCATCGTCTAGCTAAACCATGCTACATTAATGTATATAGATTGGCTGATTTGAGGTCCAACTCGAGCGATGACAAGTATAAGAAGGCTTCTGAATCAGGTTTTTGTATCATATTGGGATCATTTTGGAATTCGGAATTTAATCTCTTTTGCTATGGGCCTTTACTAACTCCAAGTGGTACAATTGTGTCCGAAGCAACAGAATTTTGCAAATCTTTTTATGCATGGGAGTGCCCTTCAGAAATATTATTGTCAGGTAATGAGTGCCACTGTGGAAGCTGTCTTGTAAAAGAAGAATTTTTAAAGGATGCTCTACCTGTATGGATTGATGGGCAGTGCAAGAAAGAAGTAGTTTTGGGATTTGGGATTATAGACAAAGACCTCTTTGCAATGCATTTTGAGCCAGATGAACTAGGCGGTTTTATGATAGTAAGGCTCATGTCTTCTGGAAAGCTGGAATCACAAAGCTATTCTGCCTCGTGGGATTCTATAAAAATATTGGAAGAGTCCCACAAAAATTCGTCAAAATTTGAAGATAATTTTGTGCGCTATATAGTTGACGAGGAATACAAGTTTCCAAGAAGATTTAAGCACCTCAAACTTGACTACCTCAATGGCTATCTGAATTGTAATCTTGATGAAGTTCTTGCTTCAAAAATGAAAAATACTTGTGCAAGTTCTCGAGAAAATGAAACTTTTGCCCCAGAATTACATGAGATATTGTGTGAGAAGTTGAATGCATGTGGGTTTGGTCGGTTAAGGTCTTCTCCTGAAGTTGCTGTTGTTTTTAAGGACATCAGCTTGCCGTCAATTATACATGAGGTTGCTTTGAGGATATTGTGGGCAGATTTGCCCATCGAATTTTTGCAGCTGGCCTTCTCTAACTATTCGGAATTTCTTGAAGTGCTTGTGGACAGCAAGAGGGTCTCTTTAGAATTTTTGGATGTGCCAGACCTACCTCAATTGCCTCCTTTCTTTTTAAGGACACCTTCACGTCGCAGCAATAAATGGTCACAAAAAGTGCCCCGTACTGATAACCTTGTAGGTCCAGTACTTCCTCTTCCGGTTTTGCTTGCACTTTGCGATTCTCAAAATGGCCGTCTTGAGGAAGAATCTGGTGGATCTTCGGTGGAGGCAGAATTTAGACATCGCTGTGATGAGGTCATGCAAGTAGCATGTGAAATGGCTGGTTCAGATCCTAGTTCAGAGATTCATGATGAGCTTGCTGTCTCCCTTGCTGATGACAAAGAAGAGACATGGGCTGGCTCTCAAACAGCAAAGAAATTTATTTTACACCACCCGAGGGCACTTAATTGCAGTGATGTGGAGCAGACAGAAGGGCAATCTGTTTATAAAGATGAGGTATTCAGTACCTTGATTTCCAAAGTACACGAGGAGGACAGTGCTGACAATGTGGAGACTTTTGGGCCAGAACTATTTGATAGTCTTTGTCCCATAAAATTGAGGTTTGATGATGCTTCTGTTACGAATTTTGGGCTGAAGGAATTGAAGGCATACAAATTATTGAAGAAACAATTCTCAAAATGGCAAGGTGATTTTAATTTATGAGGACTTTTGTTTTTGGTCTGTCACGAATGTATTCATTGTGAGTTTTAAGAATTGTTTAGTGTTAGTTGGACCCTGTTATTGATCCATGTGATAGAGAGACATTAGTCTCAGCTGTGTCCTGCTGA